AGAAACTTATTCCCCTAATGTGTTTTTTTGTTTTTTTTTCATTTTATCTCTAAACAGAACTTGCCGCGCATCGTGGTGCAGTCGGCCAGTGTTGACGAAGGCCTCAGCAGGCAGCAGCAGCAGCCAGTAAGTTTTACCATGGTACCTGGATTGCAGTCTGGGTCAGTGATTTAAAAAAAAACAAAAAACAGTAAAGTCCAGTTCTTAACTAGTCAATCTTTTCTCTCTGTCTTAAAAAAACAGGTTATTTTTAAGTGATTTCAGCCCAAACACATTAGTCCTGCACTGCTTTACCCTAAACAGCCACTAGGGTATATTTCTTTGATCATTGTTTTTCAACCTAGGGGTCGCAACCCCTATGTGGGATCACCGCAAATTCGAACGGGGTCACCTGAAATATTTTGATTGACGGCTCACATCACTGTAAAAAAAAAAAAAAAAAATCTGGGTTCACCAGAAATTTGTGATGTCATTATGAGGTCACAGGTCAAAATATTGGACCACAAGAATCCTGGGAAATGTAGTGCATTGTTTCCCAAAGACTGGGTCACAACCCTTACATGGGTCACAAGAGATTTTTTTTTTGGGTCGTCTCACATCAGGTTTCCTAGGAGTTTACGAATAATGTCTATCGACATTTTGGGTCGCGACGGTTTGTGACTTTTAAAATATGGGTCTCCAGAAAAAAAAGTCTGGGAAACTTTTTCTCTGCCTCGTCTGTTGTTCAACTGTTGTGACGTCCTCTCTCCAAGGTCCCAATTGAGGATCTCATTCCCGCGGACACCGAGACGGAGACGTGTGTCAGGTCCGTTCCCCTGCCGCCGCCAATCATCCCCGAGACGGAGGAGTCCATCTCCAGCCCGGTGAGCGAAGCGTCCAGCGGCTACATGTCCACCAGCCTGTCCGCCGCGACCCTGTCGGACGTCTACACCCTGAGCTGGGACCTGCCTCCCACCTCTGGGTTTGAGATGGTGCCCGACGAAGAGGACGAAGATACCGGAGTGGCGAACTTTGTCGCGGACCTCGAGCCGACCTCCGTGGACACTTCAGCGCCTCCGAGTTTGAACGACCGAGCTGATGGACACGAGGAGAACTCTTCACCAGTGACGGATTCAAACGTCGGTCAGAAAGACTGTCGTCGGCTTCCGTCAGTCCAGACGCACGAGGCGGATTCAGACGCCCGACCGGAGTCGACGACAACAGAGCAGGTCGAGTCGAACCGTCCAGAACCGTTACACGATTTATCGGTTTTACAGGAGAGTGAAGGCAAACGTTGCGAGGTATCGGAGCCACGCAGTCTGGAGTCGGAGAATGTTCTGACAGAACGAGCTGTCGTCGAAGAAGTACTTGAAGGTGAACGGGAAGCTGGTCAAGATCCAGCTCCAAGTGTGAGCCCGGTTTTGTCTGCAGAGCCAGCTCCTGCCCCAGAACCACCTGTAGAACCTGCCCTTCCGGCTCCTTCAGAGGAACACTCGGACGTAAACAGCACCTCCAGTGGGAGAACCGTCCAACAACAATCGCCCGCCGATGCATCCGCGGTGGTCACGGCTGCTCCCAACGTTGCTTCCTCCGTCTCGGCAGCGAACCCCTTCAAAATCCAGAAGGTCAAGTCTTCAGACCTTAAGTCGTTCCATCAAATTCTGGATGAGGAGAACCCGGGGAACGTGGACCCGGACGGCAGCACCAACCTCTCCGTGCCGATGGAGAGTCTGGAAATCATCTCCGACTCCGAGGAAGGAGACGCGGCCAATTCCACAGAGCTCCCTGAGTGGTTGAAAGAAGGCGAGTTCGTCACCGTGGGCACCAATAAGAATGGAACCGTGCGCTACGTCGGACCCGCAGACTTTGCCCCGGGTATTTGGGTCGGGGTGGAATTGGAGGTTCCAGCAGGTGAGTCCACTGAACTGATTTGACAACAGTCTTTTTAACAACTTACTCCAACGTGAGCTTCGCAACAATGTGGTTGCACAAACAAGCTAACGTTTAGCTGTAGCTCACAGGCTAATTAATCCTGGTATATTCCTTTGCCCGTTTGTGTAGTCCCTTTTGTTTTTATTTTGTATTTATATTACCCATAATTCTAGCATAATAATATTTCTGTCAAACTTGTTAATTCCTGGCTAAATGTTTTGGGAATTTAAGCTACGCAAATACAGGGGGTTCCTCAACTTTAGTCGGAAGACTGTTCCTACGGCGCGAACTTGAACTCGATTTTCGGCATTTTCGTAAGTCGCAACTATGTCACTCACCGACGCTAACATCGTGGCAACATCATGATCTAGGACATAAAACAGTCGGAAAAATCTGACTTACATCTCGGAGCCAAAATGAAGGGCAAAAAGTTCCGAAAAAAAAAAACAACGCAAACGAAAGAAATCAAGCACAATCCAGTGTATGGCGTACAACCGGCAGAGGTAAACAAAGCCATCTTCCGCACAACGTATTTGTTTACTCAATTGTCAACTATATATAAGTCGTAGCCACGAAACGTCGTAAACCGAGGACCCCCTGTATCTGACCGTGTTGTTTTTCCGTCCGCAGGGAAGAACGATGGCTCAGTGGGAGGAAAGCACTACTTCCACTGTAACCCCGGCTACGGAGTCCTGGTCAGGCCCAGCAGAGTGTCCAGGTGTGGGGCCAAACGCCGTCGGCAGCAGAAGAAGCGTCACAGCGCCAACCTCTCTGGATCCAATCCAAACTTAGTAGCGCTGACCGCTCTGGCTAAAGGTGAGGCAGGCGGGCCGCCGGGGGCCCGCGCCAGAGGGGAGAACAGGAAGTCCTTGAACAGCTGAGAGACTCGGTATGTGTTGGAAACGCAAGAAAGACTCGTGTTTTTGTACCAGATTTTAGTAACAGTTCCAGAGGACTCCAGGTTCTATCGAATGTTTTTTTTGGGGTTTTTTTTAAGCTGTTTTTTGATCAATTTTACTTCGAAAGTTGACACTAGAAAGATGTCGTCACATCCACCAAAGAGATCGTTTGGGGAGACGGAGGGTGTGAAAGGTTAAATACTAAGTACCAATCTTTTCTGGATAGTACTGTTTTTTTAAAGGGTTTTTTTAGTGTATTTATTTAAGGAACAGACAAAAAAAATCAAAGTACTGCCTCAAGATTAGCACAGTTCCTGTTTTTATATTATGGTTCCTACAATTTAATCAGTTAATTAATCCCAATAATGACAAAGAATTTTTCCTTTTCCCTTGACCCCCTAAAATAACTCTGTGACCCAAGAGGGCCCCCCGCCCCCAAGTTTGGGAACCACTATTATGATGTATTAATGAAAGCTCCACAAAAATTCGCGCGTCAACGCTGGACTGACCTTTGACCTTTTTCATGTGCATGGCCTCGAGAGTTCTCCGCACTTTTCAGACAGTAGTTTGACAGGAAGTTAGTCAGATGTTTTTTTGTTGTTGTTGTTGTTTTTTTACAGTGTAAATTGCGACACATTAACGCCTAACGAAAGAGAACCGTCCTGAGCTTTACGATATTTTACTGCTGTGCCTTTAAGACGACGTCGCAAAAGTTCAACACTGGATTTCTTCCACTCTCACTTGAAGCTCTTGGCTGTCGTAGTCCAGTGTTTTTCAACCTTGGGGTCAGGACTCCGTATGATGTCACCTGAAATGACTAGTAGTTAAAAAAAAAAAAAAAAAAAAAAAAATGATGAAAATATTTTTTTCAATTAATTTTTTAAAAATTACACAATCTTAAACAACTAAATTCTTTTGACTTTTCGTGACTATAAATCGAGTTCAAATAAATATATCTGCAAATTTGTGATGTCAAAATAGGGGTCACAAGTCCAAAAAAAAAAAAATGGCTTGAGAGCCAGTTAAGTTGGTCGGTTTGTGAGACATTTTAGATTTTTATTGTTGTTTTCTTTATATAGATTCATTTGTTTGTGTGAGCCTTTTGACGTGTACACACTTTCTGCAATTCAGTCTCGTCCAAGTGTGTGTAGACGGGACTTTTCCTGACCAGATGAATGAGTATTTATTTAAAGATGAATAAAAAAAAAAATTAAAAAAAAAAATACTCCGACTATGACTTTCCACCAGTCCTGTATGTACAGACTGAAACAGAGCAGGCCGGTGTCATTTGATATAGCTTTATTCTCTTGTACATTTTATATATATATATATATATATATTATACTAAAAATAAACACAAGTTAAAAAAAAATGAACAAAGAAACTGTACAAAAAATGTTTATACTACATCTTAATTACAGAACAGTCTACTGTCCAAAAAAGGCACTAAATTCTGAAATGGGCGATACAGTGATGGCGAACAGAACTGAGGGGTTGGAGATCCGTACGACGGCGTTCAGTCCTCGCTCCTGGGATGAAGGCGAAGGCGTTTCGCTCGGGGCACGCAGACGGACACGGAAGCACGTTGACCCTGACACACCACAAGAGGGCGCCCCCCACCCGCCATTCCCCCACCTCAACGGAGTAAAACCTGTTTGTTAGCTTGCGGCTAATTTCTCCGCTTTCCAATGTTCTCGTGGAAAAGAAGCTTCACTTCCTGAGCACCTGAGGTTTTCCATCCATCCATCCATTCATCCATCCATCCATCCTCCGTCCGTCTACGAGACTGTCTCCTTAAATACTGCTGGATTACAACCCGTCGTAGCTAACTGGGCCATGGCGTCATCTCACAAACATGAAGAAAATTCACCGAAGGATGTCTCACTGACAAAACTAATCTCTGATGCACTTCCCATTTTTCTTTTCTTTTTTTTTTTTTTTCCCCCCCCCTTCTTTCTTTCAGGGGGTTGTCACACCAATCATCACAGGAAAAACTCAATCCCTCAAATATAAAGTGTTTAATCCACACCCTCTTCTTTTTTTAAGATTGTCCCTTATTTAGAGTTCCGTTTAGATTTCAGCGGCCAAAGAAGCAGCGACCCTGGAGATTTTTTTTTTCCCGTTTCAGTTTTCAGCCAACATTTTAAAGCTGCCGTCAGAGTTGATTTGAGAAAGAAACTCGTTCTGTAACTTCAGTGTCCTTCGCCTGAATGTAATCTCCCAGGTGAGATTGGAAATTTAGTTTGAAGCCAGTTTCAGCTAATGGAAAAATAGTAAAAAAAAAAAGGGGGCAGTTTTTGTTATCTGGTGATGAACGCAGCAGTGGTGTCAACACTCTGAGAAACATCCAGCCAGTTTGGAGGAGTGTGAAGTTGGCTTCAAAACAGTAGTCCAGTATCACAGACACTTGGAGACAAAACAGGACATTTGGACACTAATCTGTTTCTGCTTGTTTTTTCATGTGGAAATGACAGCAGCTGTGAAGGTAGAGTATGCGGGAATTTTCTTTACTACATTTGTTTATGACTATTTAATGGACTTTGGAAATGTATGGGCTTCCATTCATTTACAGAGATGCTGCCCTCTGTTTGCAGTTTCCTTTTTTTAAAATACTTTTTTGGGGCAAATCTGGGTAAAAGTGGTGTCAAAATGTTGTTTGTTTAAGGAGAAAATATGGTTTTGTCATATATATACATATACATATACATATGTATATGCATATATATATACATATACATATACATATATATATACATATGTGTGTAAATATGTAGACATATAACTAAAACAACAGCACCACCTGTAGGTTAGGGGAGGTGACTTCAAGGTCGGTGTTTACCAACAACAAACCCAAATTCCAACATACTCTTCAACTAACGTTCAAATGTAACAGATGCTTTAAGACATCGTTTCCCCAAAGACTGGGTCGCAACCCTCAGGCGGGTCACTGTAGTTTTTTTCTGGGGTCGTCTCGCATCGTGATTCCCAGGAGTTTACGAATAATGTCTATTGACTTGGGCCGGCGAAGGTTTGTACGATACTAAATAGTTCTAGTGTTTTCTTTACTGTTGTAGCTTCTTTGGCCACTTTGTGCAAATTCTACACACCCGTACGATCACAGTCGCATTTTTTCCTATGAGGTTTGGTCTGACATCATCCACTTCCTGTTACTGTTCACCGGACGTTCGTCTCCTCAGAGTAGGGCCTGTGCGAGGGAAGGTTACTTTTAGGAGCAACCGCGCTCAATTTGCATAAGGTGCATTATTCTCATCTTTTCGTAAGACGGCAAACGGGGGAGACCGCTGTCCAGTAAAGACAAGGGGTGAAACAACAACAACAACAACGACTACAACAAACGGCTTAAACGACGATAGAAAAATAAGTCAGGAGAAATAAAAATATGATTAAAAACGAAAGCATATTTCTTTTTCTTTTTTTTTGTACATTACAATAGAAACTGAGTATAAATACATTGGAGATCGTTTTTTTTTTTGTTGTTTTTTTTTTTTTCATTTTAACCCTTTCTCTTTAGAACAAAGGTCCCAGAACTGAGGCACTGCAGCTCAGCGTCACACGTCCCAAACAAAGGGGAGTTGAACAGTTTCACTAGACTCCAGCGTAATCCGGGAAGCTACTCTACCAGCTGGCTCCAGATAGTTTGATGCTTCATTTTTTTTTTTTTTCATTTTGAAACTGCACCAATGGACAAAGTCCATAGAAAAAAACACAGTTTTAACCTCATGGAAAACACAGGAGCTGCTGGTCTAGTAATTGACCTCTTAGGTCTGATTTCGAACACTGACGTCACATGATGTCTCACATCTACATTTGGCCACTAGGCAGCAGCGGACCAACAGCTCCTGGTGTTCTCCCTGGACTTTGGAGACCGACAGATTTGTTTTGTTCAGCTCTGTAGAATATTTTCCTCGTTTTTCTCCAAATCTTCACTGAGCAGAGATTCCTTTACGGATTACAGAGTAACATGGAAATTCACATAGAAAAAAAAAAAATTAAAAAAGCATGAACTGTGACGCAAGAACCAGGAGGCTGCAGAGTCACTGCGCGACTATTGGAAGCTCCGGAGACGACACTCAGTCAGAATTTGCCACAGTGGAAATGTTTTTTTTTTTTTTTGTCTTATGTAGGTTTTCAACAAGGGGTTCGCAGCCCCTAGGGAGTCCATGGAAAAACTGCAAGGAGTCATCCAATTTTTTTTGGTATCCAATTTACATATTATTTATTATTTATATATATTTTCTAAATAAATCGTTATGGGCAGCTTATATTTTGCGAACTTGTTGGTGAGCGGAGCGGACGAATAATTCGCTGGTTTTGCACGCACATATTTGGATCGTGCTACATTCACTTTTTTTTTTTTTCGTTTGTGTTGTTTTTTGTTTTTTTTTGGGAACTTTTTGCCCTTCATTATGGCTCCTAGGTGTAAGTCAGAAGTTTTTTATGTCCTAGATTATGATGTTAGCACTGTGTTAGCATAGGTGAGTGACGTAGCTACTGGTGTACAGTACGTGAGTTACGACGTACGGCGGAAACATTGAGTTACGTGGCAATGGATCGAGGACCGTTTATAGTAGTTTTATAATTAGGAATATCTACCTTGATTAGTAACGCGCACAATTAATAACGAATATTAATCGTAAATCTACAGCTAGTCAAATGAGCCGCTAACAATCTCCTGGTTCCCGTTCCACATTCAGCGCCCAGACCTGAGTGTTTCCAGTCCCAGACTCCACACCAATTTAAAACGTCGTGGTCACACTTCAAAGAAACCTCTGCTCAGGACCAAAAACACTGACCAACCAAAGACAGTTCTGGCAAATTCCGACCTTGCGTGTATGTAAAAATATTCCGTCTCACTGCTCGACGTGACGTCGAGTCGAAATCCTTCCCGAGTGCTGCTCGGACCGCTGAGGTTTTTACAGACGTAGAAAAACAAAAACAGCATCAGAAGGTTTTGTGGTTTATGTTAAAGCCTTTCCAGTGTGAAGTGAGTCTAGTTTAATATCACTGATAGTAAAAAAAAAAAAAAAAAGCACATTTCTTTAGTCTATTATAAAGAGGCAGCGTCACAGAACAAGTAGTAAATAGCTTAGGGGGATTTTGATCTTCATGAGTGGCTGCTAGTAAGATATCTACCTTTAGAGACACAGACTTGTGTCCACGCCTGCAAACACCAGGAGAACTACTGCACTGACGTAGAAACCACTTTGGATGAACATGAACACCGTGTTGACTTTAGTCGTAGCTTAGCGTCGTCGCCTTTTTTTTTTTCTCTCGACCCGAGCATCTATTCCTTTGGCATTTAAAAACGAAGCGTGATCGACAGTTTGCTCGAGTTTCACGTTGACCCCTTTGAAAATTCCAATTCGTCCTCCGAGTGTTGACAATGACAATAGTTGACTGGAAGCTAATCACCGAGGCAGGATGACTGTATATTCAGTCTGAAAAAACAACAGGTAAATTACAGGTAACAACACTGCTGCTGCCGCTGCTGCTGCTAGATGGAAACCACTAAAGAGAGAATCCGTGTTTTTTTTTTTGTTTTTTTTGAGGTCTGGTTGTATTATGGAGTGACACATCGCTGACTTCTCGTTTTTACCGAGAACCAACATAGAGCGTACGTCCTCCCGTATTTTATCTAATAAACAAATTCGGATATCTGTTTACCTCCCCCTCTGCACCAAAGCCCATATAAAAAAAAAAAACAGAAGAAGAATTTAAAGCAGACCCAAGAGCTGCTGTTTCACTGCTTTATCTTAAAAAATGTCTTCAACTTACAGTTCAAACTGAGGATTTTTTTTCCCCAAGTTCAAGTCACATAATACCACACCTGGACCTGATAACGGAGGCAACAGTCGAAAAAAAAAAAACAACGCTGATACTGTAGTTCAGTAAAGGCCGTCATGGTAACATGGAGACCAGGAAGCAATTTCTAATCTTGCATTATTATGCCAGGTCAAGGTGCAGAAGGCCAGCAGGGGGCGCATGGCGCACAGTCAGTCAGCACTGTCAATAGAACCAGACTTCAAATAACACTGAAAAAAAATTCTCCCTTTAAAATGATTTGTCTATATTCATAATGTATATATATATATATATTTAAAAAAAATTCTTATTTTTGTTTTTGTAAAGGTTTTGGCTCTGGGTGAAATTAAGGCTACATTTGTGCAGGTTTTCATCTGGCAGCAGCCGGACTGTAGGCAAAGAGGAGGTCATTCCACGGAGGAATGTTGGCCAAAATTTCGAGGGACAGTGACGGTGGCAGAATGGCGAGTGTCGGTCCACGTGACGTAGTTCCTGACAGACTGGGCGTCCTTACAGTTCGACCGCGACGACTGTTCCATGAATTGCACAATAAAGGAGGCTGAGGGACGTTTACGCAGGTAGGTCGGTTCCACACCGTGAGGTGAGTCTGACTGAGAACTATATAGTATATATATATACACATATATATATATACACAATATATGTATATATATATATATAGTATACTATATATACTTTTTTTTAAATATACTTCTATTTATACAGTACACATTATTTTACTGAGGTTGACGTTGACGTGAGATAGACTGAGGATCGGCTCAGAAGACCAGGGAAGTAGGGGGAGTGAGGAGAGGAAGGTGAGGGGCAGGAGAAGAGGTAACCTGTGAGGAAGAGTCTTCGTTGACTGACCCGAAGGACATTCTCTGGGGGACGGCGGTCCCAGACGAGAGCCACAGTTTTAAGGGGTTAAAGGCCTGGATTGTCGCTCTTCTAATTCCCCTCCGTTCAACACGTTCGCAGAGATCAGAGAGAGAGGGAGAGAGAGGGAGAGAGAGAGAGGGAGGCCTACGGTGGCCATTTTCCCTCCCCCGAGTTGTGTCAATATTGTAAGTGGGGTGGGAGTTGGCGGTATTTACTGTTTACACTGTAGAGAGAAGGGACGTGGAGGACGGATGCCGAGAGAAGCAGCAGTTACCGGTGGGGGGTCGGAGGTCGGGGGTCGGGGGAGGAGGAGGTGCTACGTTAAGTACAGATCTAAAAGGTTTTACTAAGTAGAATTGATATAGTCTTTTTTTTTTTTTAACCCCCTCCCTTTCCCACCTTTTTGATCCTCTTTTCTTTCTTTCTTTTTTTTTCCCTTTTCCTCTCAACTTGGCCGCTTCTCTCTGCTGCTTCCCTTACAACCGCTCCCTGGGCGATTCATTCATCCTCCAGGGACTCCGTCTTGATGTCGTTGGGCACGCCCCCGGCTCTGGACAAGGCCAGGATGGAGTGGTTGACGGCGGCCATCTCCACAGCCAGAGATATGGGGTCCTGGTGCTCGCCGTGTGCTCCGCTGTCGTCCTGAAAGACGAGAGAAATCAAAACTTAAAAAAAAAAAAAAAGTCAAACTGAATGGACCTGATTAAGGTCCGAAATCAAAACTTATTTTTTTTTGGTTTTTTTTTTGGTATTTTATAAATAAACAAACTATGGATTAGAAAGAAAGAAAGAATTTTAATTTTTTTTTTTAATTGTCCTGTTTGTCTTGACTGGGCTAAACATCTGATGCTAGCAACATTTTGCTACGTAGCATTGTGACGGCACAAATAAAAATAAAAACATTCATTTGATTTTAATATTTTTCAAGGTCACAGTCATCAATACGAGGTGGTGTACTACACCTGGACCGCTAGCTGTGCATGCGAGACGTTCAGGTACGACGTGGAAATTTATCCAATTTCGCGAGACGTTCAGGTACGACGTGGAAATGTATCCAATTTCCCATAATCCGCCTGAAAACTATTATTTATCCACTGCAAATGTCCCGGTTGTTTATTTCTCAACAGCAGGTACAAGAATTACATACTCCAATTCCAATAGATGGCAGCAGATGGCTTTAACACCTTGAGAAAAAGAGCCGTGAGAGAAGATCTTGTCATGGGTCTTTCTTCAATTCCTGTGAGTATAATCAGCCTTACGTTCAACTAAACAGGCCCAGGTTTTACATTTGTGAGTGAAATAAAACTTCAGAGATCATTATATTTCATAAATATTTTCAATATGCAGTAGGTGAGTTTCTCAGTTGGCGTACCTGTGTTGGAGAGGTCGGTTCCAGCCGATAGAGGCCAAAAGGCCGGCTTAGAGGTCGCTTGTCGAAATAGGGGAGTTCACAGGCCTGGAGGTTGTTTGAAACAGAACAGTCCAGTTACCTGAGCATTTTAAAGGGTTATTTCAAGAAAGCATCCATCATTTAACATTTTCTTTCTTTTTCTTTTTTTCTTGTAAACAATCTCAAAGCTATTGCATTAAGGCAGGACGTTTCAGAACCATTTAAATCCCGTAGTAAAATGTAATTGAATTCAGACTCTGCCTCACGTTACGGCTCGATGCGGTATAAAAAAATAAATCACGAGTTTATTATAAGCAGCGAGTCTTCATCTAAATTTGTTTTGGTTGTTTTTTTTTTCCACACTTCTGCGTACTGTGCAATCAAGAATAAATCAAAGAACTCAAACTCGGGAGAATTTGAATCGTCTTCCGTGATAAAGAGAACCGTTGCTGTTGAATTGAAAAAAATCGTTTTCATTGGCTGTGGGAAGACCAGAGTCAGCTTTTAATTAATCTGCCCTGAGCAATGGTTCCTCGATGGAGGTAAGAACGTTGTGCTTTTTTTTTTTTTCTTTCTTGAAGGTAAGAAACGAATTAATCAGGATGAATGTGAATTAAAAAAAAACAGCAATTTCAACGACGCTTGTGCGTTTTTTTATGTAAATGCGGGTTTAACGGCGTGACAGAGACACTGCACACTGCAAGGTACTGCAGAGAAGTATCTGTTAGACTACAGTAAGGTATAGGTCCTAGTATGTGAATCTTGATTAATACGCATCAACAGCTTTCTACCTGCTCTGTGAAGTCATTCCCATCGATGTCGTCGCTGTTGGAGTGTCCTCCAGGACTCTGGACATCAATCCCATGACTCTCCAGGATTGTGGCTTCTTGTAAGAAGAGGATGTACCGTTAGGTCTACAACATCGAGCACTCGCGTGGTAGATTTGTGCCAAAAAAATTATTCCTATAGACCCCCCCCCCTCGCCCCAGACACATTACCAATGTTAGCTCGTCTCTTGATCTCTTTGCGGCGGTTGGCGAACCAGTTGTAAACTTTCAGTGACGTGACCCTCTCCAGATCAGACAGCTTCTTCCCTGGAACGAATCATACAAAGGCGTCATCGCTCTGCGGGGCAGCGTTTCCTGTCTCTTGTCAAAAAAAAAAAAAAATCGCAAAAAAATGCTGCGGAACAGACGGCCACTTTAAGCTGTGGATTTCATTTTTTTTTTTATATAAATAGTTTTACAAGTCACGGTGGAGAGAGAAAAAAAAAATCGATTCAAAGGAAATAACTTAGGAGTGAATCGTGGAGCAGATGTGACACAGATGTTTGTTCTGTAACGTTCAGCCGCAGCTGGATCTGAAACTTTACCGTAGCTTCGACTCACGTTTCAACATTTTTCTTCCACGTTCATATGCATATTGTAAAAAAAAAAAACTATTGTTTGAAATGTGTTTCAGAGGAGCAAGGGATTTAAAACGTCCTCATATTACATGAAGAAATGACTGGTCTCATGTAGTTCGCGACCCAAGACATTATTCGTAAACTCCTGGGAAACATGATGCGAGACGACCCAAAAAAAAAAATCTCCTGACCCACCTGAGGGTCACGACCCAGTCTTTGGGAAACAACGAGTGACAAAGAGTTATTTGCTAATGCGTGAGTCGCAGATGTGTTATCTGACAACCATTCTGCACCTTTTGTTTTGGTAGTATTTTTATCGTTCCGTTTCTGTCGTCGTTGTTGACGGATGTGAAGACAGCTGCCAGGCCGTGCAGCCATATATTTAGAATGTATTTTTGTTCATCATAAATCTAAGCGCTATAGTCACATGTCGAACACCGACGGTGCAGTTGGCTGTGCGCTTGAGGAGCTGGTTCTTATAGGTTATCTCTTTCTTTTTTCTTTTTTTTTTCTCCGATAACAGCCAGGCATAAAATGCTTTAATTTTTATTTCTTTCTGTAAAGTTCTCAACTTCCAAAAATACATAGTTCTGAATTCTCTTTGGAATTTATCTTTAGAATGTCCCCTATGTTAGACATAATTGTGTCTTCTTTATTTTCTAGCTCAGCATACTACCCGGTGCTTAAAAAAAAAAAAAAAAAAAAAAAATCAGACAATGCTGATTAAGATGTGGTTCAAGCTCCAAGCCGTGTTTAGTCATGTTTTACGCACGGCCGCGCGCCCGTTTGTGTGATTTACCTGGTTTTTGAATAACAGCATTGCAGGCGTTCGCAATCTCTTCCCGCTTGGCTTCGTCTGGATACTGGTTGTCGTTGAAGTAGCTATAAATAGCAGAAGAGCCGCACTGATTAAATTCAGTTTTTCTACACAAGGACGATGTCAACAAACTGGAGTTACTGCTGTTCTGCTGCCTGCCGTCTGCAGGCCGATAAACACGGGTCCGTGACAATACTGAGAGGCTTTGGTTTGTCATTTTCTCGAGCGGGTATGGGGGCCGGGGGGGGCGGGTGGAGGCAATGTTTAAACAGCCCTACCCCATGAAACGAACACCTAGCCATCATTTATAACTGACGCCGTTCTCTTCTTCACCTCCTCACCTCTCCATCACAGCCAGGCACTCCTTCCTCCAGGTGAAGCGACTTCCTCGACGCAGCCGGAAAGTGCCGGGGGCAGTGGTGAGGGGGGGTGGGGTTTGCCTCCACTCCATCTCCTCCAGAGGTATCGGAGCCGGCCGCATGTTGAGGGTTGCACCTGGAGGAAGGGCACAGTAGAAGTCACCGCTTTGACAGAACAAAAAAAACCAAAAAAAAACAGACGCTGCGTCTATCAGAGGGAGAGAGCGGAGAGACTTCTGCGTTTGAGTTGGGGCTCTGATGATGTTGTAGGAGTCGGAAAACAGACAACCAAACGGGAAAGCAAACGTGCAGCCTGCCTTTTGCTGCTCTGAACAGAAGCGCTGACGTGCGGCGCGCCGCCTGTTCTCAAGTCCCGGCCGCGAGGACATGGACGCAAACTGCTTCATTTGCATTCCCGCTCATAAAACAAGGGGGGGGACATTAAAGCGGGAGCTCTTACAGATGACGCGTTCCGCAGCGCATTCCAACGCTGTTATCAACTAGCGCGGGGGCGTGACGGAGATGCTACGGTCTACGTTATTTGAGCGCGCCAGAACAGGACATGTCTTCTCTCTGCAGCAGTGGCGGAGACGTGTGCAGGACTAGGCTGGGATGGGCTGGAGCTGGGGCTGGGGCTGGGGCTGAGTCGAGCCGGGCTCAGTCTGGCCATAAATAGCATAGAGCAGTTTCCAGGGCTGACGGTGTTGGCAGGGCTCCACCGAGGAACATGCTGCAGAGGACAAGGCGTTGGATGTCTGCTGCCTGCTTATAGGTTGATACAGCATTTCGACCAACGATCGCAGACGCACGCGTGCGCGCGCGCGCACACACACACACTTACACTTCAGCACAAATCATTTGTGCACAGTCAGGGCTAAGTGCGTGGAGTAGAAGGGCACTTGTTTTAACTCTTGGCTATTTACAGTGCAGTGTTTGGACCGAAATACACCGGGAAAGACATCAGCTGAGAAATGATTCGAACGCGTTAAGACAACCCTGAAAATGAAGCGTAACGACACCCGTCGGCATTTCTCAAAATTATCACTGAGCCACTAAGTGGCGGCTAATACGTAACAGACCAAGAAGAGGTTAAATCCTAGTCCAGTTTCCAGGTATTATTTATATCTCCTTCGACATAGATAAAAAAAAAAAAAGGTAGTCTTAACATAGTCCTGAATCTTGACTCTTATTTTTAACCTTGGCATTTGCTTCGGCTTCACTGCAGGCGATTTTAGAGACAATAAAATAAAATGTATTGAAGCCAATTATAATAAGTGATGACGTCACTGTCAGTTTGAAACGTACGCGTTTCTCAGCACGAGCAGGTGAAAAAAAAAAGCGGCAAACTCCAGGTCCAGTTCTCCGGACATTATCTGGAGTTCATATCCGAAAAACAGCTCAGGTCAGCTCCTACACAGCCTTGTCCTTCCTTCCTTCCTTCCTTCCTCTGTCTCCATCAGCCTCCACTTTTATTACACAAGTGAAGAGGCTTCTGCTGACTTTTAAGACACCGCGTGGAATTGAGCCATTAGATACAACACAGGCTGCTGCGCCACACGAGGACCCCGGGATGCTAACTACTCCTACTTACATTAACGGCTGCACAGAAAACTGCTGCGTATCAGAGTGTTTCCGACCGTGTCCACCGTTTTTCAGCTGAGAACCGAGGTTCACAGTGAGCTGCGCCTCAGCTGGAGGACCGCAGCCGCCGACGACGCCCTACGGCCTTTGCAGCCCACGGGGGGGGCCTGTATGTGGCCAGTCCGTCTGGGCTGCAGGAAAGTCACAATGTGGTTGAGGGTTTGCCTCATCCTTATAGTAAAATTAACCCTGGACTATTAGTAATTTGTACTTAAAAAAAAGTGAGAAATAATGATGCTGATGACAATTAAGATTGTATCACTTAAATCCTAACGTTTTTTTTCTCCCCGCCGTTCCATTCATTCTCTGGTTGCTGTTGCTGCCGATATATTCAATTATTAATGTCGACGCCTCGGTCTCATCTCTGTCTTTCTGTAACGCTCTGTTCGCTTTTAGAAAAACGTGATGGATTCTAAGATATTTTAAGAAGTCCACGATCCATCGCAGTGTGAACAGCGTGGCAGTATGGTACGGTCTACAGACGTTGGATGTCGCGAGTAGATTATTTTAAGAAGTCCACGATCCATCGCAATGTGAACAGCGTGGCAGTATGCGGTCTACAGAGGTTGGATGTCGCGAGTAGAGCAGGGAACACTGGTGTACCTGGTGTAGTTTTCTCCAGCGTGTACCAGCGGTAGAAGGCCCTCTTCTTCTGTTCGCTCAGGTCAGAGCCATGTTGCAGCAGCCAATGGGAGATCCTGCTCTGGCTGATACCTGGAAAGCAGCCAGACATTGAATTACAACAGTCCCTAAACAACACTTTAAGAAAGTCAAGAGAGAGAGAGAGAGAACAGTGAAATACCGGAGGAGAAACGCTCCAACATTTTCATTTCTGAAAATATCCTGAAATATTCAAAGAAAGTGAATTTTTTGTACCCCCAAAACCTGAATAAATTTTATTTATTATATATGATATTTTATTAGAATTTTTTCTCTAATTTTTTCACCACATTTTTTTGCACGCAGATAAAAAAAAAAACCCTCGTCACAGTCAAGCCTCCCACGCTCGCTGCACATAAGATTCATTTTAGGGCCAAAGGTAATAATTATTTAGGCCTCGGCTAATGTGTTGTTGACTTGACTTGTGACGTTAATTAGTAACCATATTTTTTTTTTATTTCTATTTCCTGTGGGTGTGGATTCCGTTTCTGGCTTAGGTGAATGTTTGCTCTCTCGCCTAATAAGAGTTTGGATTCAGGCTACGTCGGATCACATGTTAAAGGCTGTGTTTTACAGATGAACGCCAGTCCAAACAAACAGTCGTATTGACTAATAATATGTGGAAAGTCAAGTGTTTCAGAATTGGTACTCAATAATTTTATACTGGCTGTGAGTCTGCTTTTTACTTGATGCTGAAAACGCAGCACTTTTTCCACAATCTGTACACAAAGATATAAAGTGACGCTCTCAGCTCTGATTGCTACTGATCAGACGATTAGTGAAGGTGAACAGCACCATCTGCTTTTGCTGTAGTTTAACTCTCTTTTTGTGATGCTCAGCTCCGCAGCGGAGAACAGCTCCGCAGCAAATAGACTCTAATTGTGCTAATGCTGTTCCTAATGACTGTCATTAGGCTGCAGACATTTGGCTGTTAGGTCAAATTCTGAGAGTTGACGGGCTGTCATGATGATTGGTTCGAAAACAGATTTATGGCGCTCCTGGATTTTTCTATTAATTCAACTTGAAAAATCGAAGCCTCCACCAACGCATTCTGAGATGGTTTTTTTTTTCCTTGAAAATCGAAGCCTCCACCAACGCAATTCTGAAAGGGTTTTTTAAGCTCAAGTTGCTTCATGAAACAAAGTTGGTATGGCTCGATACAACATTTTCCGATACTGTGACTGGAGTATCTTCCGATATCAATATCAATCCAGTACCGTCTTTTCTGCTGAGGCAATAGCGTCTCCACGTTCTGCATGTCGTGCAAAGTTAAGTTGAGCATTCGGGCTTAGGTATCGGAATCGGACGAGTCGGTTGGATCCTTAATTTTGGACCGATATCAAAATCCATCATCATTCTGCCCATGTCTTAAACCGTTAAATCTTCACGAATGAATCAACACAAAGAACAAGTGAAATTTGACAGTGGTGCTGGATATCTGAAAAGGTTTGGAGTGTCTTCTTACCGGTAACTTGTGCCACCACTGCCTGAGAGATCCTCCTGTTCCCCAGGAACGCTTTGATCTCTTCCTTCACCATACTGCTGTCCCTCCTGCAAAAAACGTACAGCCCAAACAAGAACTTTTTTTTTTTTTTTTTAAACGTTGACAGCAGCTTCAGCGGTGTATTCATTTATGAGGGTACAAATCAATTCGTGACATGAGCTCCGCAGCAGGGAGGAGATGTCTTTGTTGTTTAAGATGGAGTTAACTTTGATGTCCATCGCTGTACTTGTATCATCAATGTTATTTAGTATAAACACAGCTGTGGGCTTAGTTCATCCTTTTTTTTTTTTGTTGTTGTTGTTGTTGTTTCCACCACAGTGACTGACGTCTTTGTCTCCAGGTCAGATAATGAAATGTGTTTCCGTATCGCACACCGGTTCAAGGGAGATACTTCAAACCGAGGCTCGGTTATAATTTGACAGCGTTATTGCTGCGGCGTTCTTTTGTTTTTATGGCTCTCTCACAATCAGGGCAGCACTTTACGGGGACACGAAGGCGACGGCGCTATGATTTGGAAAATTCTACTTCAAACTAATCTATATCTATACCAAATGTATGTGGCAGGCGTATTTCCACTATCTCAGTCCACAGTGGGAGGGGGGAGGGGGGGGGGCGAAAAGAAAACATGCAGAGACTTGCAAGATTGGAGAGTGGTGAGTGAACATGTACAGTCACACAGTGTACCCACCCTGCTTTCTGGCTCCGAGCCCAGTCCCCTCCCCGTTACATATACACGCACACAGGCACCGACAAGCTTATGGCTCAGCTCGACATCCTGGTACGGGTTGTGAACACCTGCCTAATCTCAGTTTAGAAAAAAAAAAAAAAAAAAAAAAGGAAAAAGTTATTTGTTCTAAGGCCCTTTTTTACCGTCCCTACTTTTCACAGCACTGCAACTTCTAACAGCGAATAACCGCCGTGGAATGAATCACAGTCGCGAGCTCAATATTTCTGAAATGAAAATGCGTCACAATTCTTGACACTGAGCATCAATATCTACCACACCAGCCTCTTGCGGCGCAGCTAAAATTAGACCTCAAAAAACTGTGCTTGTATCGACATCAGCGAATCAATGTAGCACAAGCCGCTGTACAAGGGAGAGTGGGAAGCGGAGGAGGCGAAAAGGCGAACCATATAAAACATCATGTCACAGTCCCTGCAGCCGCGTCAAGTAAAGACACTGGAGAGCACTGCCAGGCAGGAAGGAAGGACACGGGGCTTTAAGGCTTCCTAACTTCCTGGGATGTCTAAAAAGAACGTGTAATCGAATGCAGGGGCAACGATAGAGTCTGATTTTCTAAATGTCACTTCTGACAAGGCAGCGGGAGTCCATCACAGCAGAGAGACAAATGTTTTAAATACAAAACAGTGAGAGAACAAACGTGTGCATCTTCCTGGATCTGGAATCTTTCAAACCAACTGAAAGGCTCCTTCTATTATTTCTGCTATAGAAACATAATCCTAAGCCCTGAAGACTCCTTCAATGCTTCCCAGAGGACACTTCCCTTTTTTTTTTTTTTTTTCTGACTGAACGCAGAACCTCAACTACCCCTTTATGAATGTCTGGGTTTTTTTTGTTTTGTTTTTTTTTTGTGATACTCCATTACAGGATATAAATTCTAATGTGGTACATGCTGTTCCGAGATAAATGTGCTAATTACAGCTGTCATGTGATGCTGCCGAGCTTGTGAAGAAGAGTCCAAGTGGGTTTTTTTTTTTATGATTTACCAACTGCGCACCGCTTATGTCTGTGTAGAAAGACACTCGTATGCAAAAAAAAAAAAAAATCTCAAAACGTAACTGATATTAGGATAATCAATAAGCTGCGAGACAGACAGTTAATCAACAAATACTTTACCAGTAACTTTTTTAACGCTAACTTTTTAAACGCTAAGAAAATTTCTCATTTAATACACTGACTAATTCTATAATACCCAGCCACTGTGCCAGGAGAGATCACCAGGTGTACCTTGGAAAATTAACCAATTTCACATAATTGTAAAATTATTTATATATATATATATATATATATATATATATAAA